TTAAAATTAAAAATGTCCTTGATGGTTAATACTCATATAAATAAATACTTACCATGGAGTTATATTTTTAAAGTACAATCAGTGACGAATTAAAAATGCATCGTCAGGTGTATACAAAGTTAATATAATTGAAAATCTGACTATATTTTAGATTCGTGTAAAGTATTTATTTATTTATCTATTTATTGATATTTATAAAATGTTTGATTATTTATATATTAAAAAAGTGTTATTACAGATGATCAAGTAATAAATAATAATTTTTATCGTTTACATTTTATTTGACGATTGTTATTATAATTATTATTTTTTTCCTTTTTGAGCATTATAGATTAAAATTAAAAACTATTTAAGCACTTAAATGTCAGTACCGAACTCTTCCACTCCTTTCTATTATACTCATGGTTCACGTCACTATGCCAATCTGATCTCAATCTTAATCTCTTGAAACTTGTACATTATACATTTATTTATAATGAAAGTTAAAAAGTTAGTTTAAAAGTTCCTATTACATCAAAAAGTGTATTATTATTTTTGGTGTTCTCCGAATATATATTTGAATATCAAATTAATGGTTTAGTCATTTGGATTTTTTATTTTTCATTTTTAAACCGAATACAATACTTTACCAAAAACACTAGCTTTCAATTTAATTTTAACCACGATTATACATCGTATATTCACTTCATAGTTTACGCCACAGATGACAAAAGGCAAAAGTTTACAGGGGCGACTGAAATCATAAAGAACAGAACGATAACAACTGAATAAAAATGAAAACCCGTAGCGGCTGTACAGGGTAAAGGCAACTTCTTCTTCAGTTTGTTATCTGTGGATCGGCAGTACGTGATGTACAATGAACTCGATCCATTAGTGATCAATAACAAATTAACAAGAGGCGGAACTAAATACGATCGAAAATGGGATATTCCAATGACCTCGTCGTTAAAGGGGTCCTGCGGTAAATTTTTTTATTGTTTAAAAAAATTTCAGTTAAATAAAATAAAATCATGGGTTACTGAAATAATACTACATATACTGATCAGTGGCTAGTGAATATGCATACGGATTGTATACAATATCAAGGCGATAGTATTTAGACTGATAAGTACATTGATAGATTAATAAATGTGAAAAGTACATTATACGATAACAATGTTATGTCCCTGACTTGTTAAGAGCATTTTATTTGTTTCTTACAAGACCGGCTACTGTGGCGAGTGCCGAACGGGCATTCTCAGAACTAAAATTAATTAAAAATGTTCAACAAGCACCATGTCCCAAATGCGGCTTAGTAGTGTCATCATAATTTCGATTGAAAATGAGCATGCTAAAAAAATATAATTTATCGTTGTTGGCGAAGACGTTCGCTCAAGACCGTAGCGGAAAATAATAATATCCATTGTAAACATAAAATCATTATAATTGTTATTGTAATAAGAATTCAATAAATCATTAATTTTTATTAATATTTATTTATTTTTGTATTGTGTAAAAATAAACAGCTTACTGTTTAGAAAGTTCGATTGCATACATATTAAGTCCTCCAAAAAAATTGTACACACGGGTCTCAACTATCGCAGTTTCGCCTCTGAAATAAGTATTGTTCACATGAAAATCTCTTAAATGTACGAAAAATCATCACACGAATAAATAATGTACGAAACAGATCCAAATAAATTTTGCACAATTGTTCCATGGACTACGGATTCCTTCAAGCGTGCAATATTAATAGTATTTAGAAAAATAGAAATAATTAATTACTTAGACTTTGACCTATACAGTCAATGGTTTTTAAATATTTGTTATGTGGTTGTTTTTAAAATACAGTCTCTGCAAATAAAGAGTAAACTCGATAAAATCTATTCGATAGTTGATAAGGTGAATTCACGCTTGTGGACGAGGTAAATACTATTCAATACATACCAGACCAAAAATATGATGTTTTATTTAATCTATTTTGTTTCGTTAACATCGCCTTGAAATCAAAAACATAATTTCGCTATAAGTACGTTAAAATAAATTATAATATGTACCATAAAATAATTAGAGATGTATTAAAATATGTTATTTTTCGACACAAACAGTAACACGTTTATTTATTTATCTTTCATTTTATGAATTTATTCATGGAATAAGAATTAAATCAAACAGTTATTTCGGAGAATGACGAGTTCAATATTATTGCGTTCATGAAATCATTTGAATAGTGATCTTATATTTTCCTCGAAATAATAAGTCAAACCAAAAACCATTAAACTAAAATAAACTAAGAAGATTGATGGTATTCACCCTAAGTAAAAATAAAAACCCAGTAAAATCGCTCTGTGTGGGGGGGACTGGAGGTAGAGGTTCAAAAAAATATATTAGTCAGTCGGTCTGACGATAAGATAACTTTGGCACTGGTCGAAGACGGCGGACTGAATTTTCGGTCCGCGGTCCTATCGGTTGAAGGTACTCTTCCGGTGGAACAGTGACATGGTTGCTTGTCGAGTTGGACTCGTAAAATCCCTGAGCGTGATTCAACTATCGTCTTTATCGCCACGAAACCGTTTCTCGTCCGTCCCCGACGGATACCTTTGATATCATCGTCCGACCGGCTTTTCGCCATGTAACCTAGGTGCTCGGACACTAACGAAATATTAAAAAAAAAGTTATACGAACATCCGACTGGACGATAACACGGACTTGTGACGTGGTGCTGCTTAAGTCACGGGTATGCAGGGACATATGTAAAAACAACCGTCCACTCCAATGTCAAATAAAAATGTTCCACCCTATCCTGAAAAATCACTTCTGTCTATCAATATACCCTTACGCGACAATATTTACACAATCTATTAATTTAGGTAAAGTTTTATAAAAAAATTTTATTCCATACGTAATATTTTCTCTGTATTTTTATGAACTAAAAATTAATACAAGAAAAACATAGTAATATATTATTAATTAATTAAACGTAAATGTAATTAATTTCAACGGAAATTATTCATAAAAATGGAACCTTGCGATAGCTCATTTTATAATTTTAGTTTAAAAAAATTAATTTAAGTTTTGGGTCCGATTAAAATCATTATTTAACTTTTCAGCCTTTTCATTTAAATGTTTTCTACACCGAGAACCGCTAAACTTTTTAGGTTCACAATGAACGTATAATGAGATAGTGTGAAATAAAAATAAATATTATATTATACGCTCACCAAAACGCGCGATAACCGCCGACACTCTTAGCGGTAGTAAACGATCGGATAAGTGATAAATGTCGACTTATCCAATGTATTTCGAACGGATAATGCTGTCGTATAATCTGTGTAATAATAATAATAATAATAACAATAATAATAATACGGGAGTTCACTACTTCTCGTCCTCGTAATGAGTAATTTATTTTTTTAGTTTCCCGAGACATAAATGCGTGCAGTGAACCCGTACCTATAGAAATTTTGATAAACTCTAATAAACCGTAATCGTCATCGACGATTTCTCATGGGGGGGGGGGGGGGGGGATAAATAATCAATATTCTACTGATACGCGAGTACGAACGAACAAAAGCAAAATTCAAACATACATCTTTCATTGTTTTTAAATTATGGAATCGTTGTTAAAAGAAACAAAAAAATATTGAAGTACTTTTCCGTACGAGAACAAAATAAATAATAAATACATTTCGTTCGGAATTCGCCGATCAAAGGGGTCGCATGGATCGTAGCATGGGCGTCATTTAAGTCCAAAAACTGGGGTTGCAAAGTTTATTTTTAGAATGTTATAATATACATTTTTAAAGGTTTAACATGATAACTAGCTTACTTGCTTAACTGGCTAACTCTTCTTCATAAATCTCAGTATAACGTATAGTGTATACACTGTCTTATTTTCCGTATTGGACTTATAACAAAATATAATTAATAGATAGTCTATGTTCGTACACACTTGAATAATAAACTTCAAATATATTTTTAAAATCTATAACTTTTTTTGTGGTATCAAAAAGATACCCTTTCTACCCCATAAAAATTTCTGATGTAGCAAAGATACCCCTCGATACCCCTTAATAACGCCTATAGATCGCAGTGCCCGGTCGTATGTGTACGTACGTACCACACAAAAAGTTGTATGCAAATCAACGTCACACCGGGCCCGTAGCCAAACCAAATGGTCAGGTAGCGCGAACCAATTTTTTTTTTTTTTTATGGGAGGGCAGATCATTGGTAAAATAAAATATAGTGCGTAGCACACCACTACATCGTGGTGGTTTCTAGAGGGTCGAAGGGCGTGCTCGATCCCCATAGATTTTTTTTATATCAATTGTTATGTTTTGTACATCGCATTATTTCCACTATACATGTTCAAACATTTTTTTTTTTTTTTGTGAATCAACATGAAACATTGAATTGATAACAGTAGACAAATATACGTTATCAAAACATATAGACCTACAACTAGAACTTATAAATTTAAGATAGTCAGGTTTGATCGGATTGTTTTAGATTGCAGTCAAATGTTTGGAATTTTTTTTCTATATTTTATGTTCCAATAAAACAGAACCATTTAGATTATGAAATAAAAATTGAAAGTCATGTAATTTATAACAGAACCATAAACCAGTTATATTGTTTATTTGATATACGTCACAGTGGTGTGTGACTATTCTTCATTGTGTGTATGTAACTATGGTGGGGGGCAACAGATTTAAAACAGCCCCCCCTTGATGTTTTATCAAAACCGAAACAACCGTACATGTGTATGCTTAATAATTGTTGAGGGGGGAACTTATGTGTCCTGGGAAGGAGGAGTATTCCATCTTGCGTTCCCCGCGAGGCCACGGTCCACGAGCAGTAGCAGTTCGTTCCGAAAAAACTAGTAGGCACCTCTGCACATCAGCCGTCGTCCAAGAGACGATTGATACGACGGTCGACTTTTAACCGCGTGCGCTTGCACGGGCGATAACAATGGTACAATGACAGTGAAATAAAACGATGTGAATTTTTCTGTGTTCCAGGGGCGGACAATGAACTTTTCGCTGGCCGAAAACGACACGGGAAAACTGGTCGGGAACGCGACCGACGGTGGCCGTAACGATGAACTGTTCAAAAACGTACATCTCACCGACTACCTGTTGATCGTGTTGTTCTGCCTGGTCATACTGACGACGGTGGTAAGTGCGCGCGAGACCTGCGACTTACGTTACCGTTTTCCCACGTGGCCGGCGCGCGTCCGTTCGCCGTTTCGCCGGGCGCGTTTATCGGCGCATCCCGTCCGTCGAGAAGCCGTAGAAAGTGAACGTTCGAGTGTTGCGCTAGGTCTGATAACCGCCCCGGGGCAAATTAAAATATGCGCCCTTAAGAAAAATAATATTTTAACGGTCGAAAAAAAAAAAAAAAACGTCAAACCCAAAAGATGTTTACACATCAAACGGTGTGCGATGTGCCGATTTCTGAGATAAAATACAACGATATACTTGTAGCCGACTATTTCCGAGGAAAGAAAACGATATAATAGTGTAACAAGTTCTTAATTCTTATCGCCTTGCGACATGCAGCGGTAGACTGCGGCCTTTCCCTCGGTGTTCATGAACGAAATAATATGTATTACAGTTATACGGTCGTAAAAAAAAAAAAAAAAATTATAATCATATATTTTATATTTCATGTTAATCCTCAAAAATGTACCGCCCCATCGAACACCATAAAATTCGCTGCCCCGGGACAATATCCCCTACCCCCATTTGACACTCGTTAAACGCGGCTCTGACGTACCGCAACCCGACGTTATTTCACGACAGTAATGATTGATCTACGGTAATCGCTCTTTTCAACCAAAAGAACAAATACGAACGTTGAAGGTGATACGCTCAGAAGTTATTTATCGTAAAAGAAATATTTGAACTTTAATAAGTTATGATTATTCTAATATAAAATCAGATCAAAATTTTCGGTTGAATCGTCGACAAGAAACGTATAAAACATTTATAAATTAATAAATTCAAAACAAACCGGTAATTTGCCCAAAACTGTTTGTTACTCAAGGGTTTATTTAACTGTGGTCGACTTGTTTACTTCAATATTTGATCAAACGTGATTTAGAGGATCAAAGCACTGAGCTTATATCCTTATTCCAGGTTTTCGATGCTTTTCGAATTAAAATGTTAGAATAAGCTATGAACCTAGTCAAAATGCTATACAATAGGCTTTCACATACGGTCTAAAAAGTTTTGGAAACGTGAGCATAGCTCCTAGTACTAGTAAACTGTCTTAGCTAAGATTAGATTTTAAACCTTAAGCATTTTAAAGACTTAACTCCGATCAAGAATGGCTAACTCTTTTAATAAATTTATGATTATACTTTTTCTTCAGGAACGAAACTTTCTACAAGTTCGTGTAATTTATTGACGACGTGCTCAACAGTTTCTCAAATAAAAACTTTTATGTTAAAACGAATTTTTTTATGCATTTCGTGAAATGTATTGGTAAAAAAGACGGCCCCCCGCGAGAGAAAACAAAAATGTAAATCATAAAATGACTTAGTGCGTGCATGTTACAATTTATCATCAGACAGTCGAAAAAAAATGCTTTTCTATTCGGCCAAAAGCCGATCAAATATGATATATGTAAACAGTTATTTTATGTTCAATTTGACCAGATATAAACAGATATACAAAATGTACCAGAACAGTTTCAGCACCTTGTAATGGATTTTTTTTTTATCAATTTTATTCCGATGGAACAAATATTTGCTGACAACGTAAAAAAAAAAATTGTTTTACCACGTGAAGCATTTTAAAAACACGAATAATAACAAAAGTTTTAAATTAATTTTTACACCTTGAAACTACTCGTATACAGAAATTTTTAAATGATTTTAAAATATAAAAAAAAAAAAAAAAACTAATATGTACGTCTTGTTTACATTCAAAAAAGTAATACTACAAAACTAAATTATCTTCCAGACTTTGATATGTTAGAGGACGTATTATATAATAATTTTATCGATTTCTACGATGGGAAAAATACACCCCAATGAATGTGATTTAAAGCTTAGTCCCGGATAGCTAATATTATACTTAACATTATATTGTACGAGCAATTACGGTAACTAATATTATACTTATCATAATTGCTCGTACATTTTTTCGCAGATTTTATTTTATCTTATGTAGGTACGAAAAAAAAATATCAACATACATTACTCAGATTATTATTTATACGCATATCCACAGCGTACAAACCGATTCAAAGTCGAAAAATGTTCATCGTCGCGTAAGTACGTACGTACTACAGCAATATAATGAGTTAAACAAATTAAACCGTTCGTTACCGTTGCAACGGCCAATTATACATTACACCACCGGTAAATCAGGTTAGGGAACTCGTCGGTAATTCGATTGTACGTGCGCGTTGGGTAAGTTGATTTTGACGTTAACAGCAAACGATGTGCATAAGCGACCAGTGCAGTGTTTCGAAACTAACCAGATTTGCACAGTAATTGCCACGCATACCTCCCCGAGTGTTGCGCGTATACGAAAATAATAAGATTTCTGATAAACAATGAAAAATATGAGTTTCATCCCCTCGGAATCGGGAATTTTGAAACGTCGAACTTAACGTTCGTTTCCGCGGAACATCGAATACCTATCATTATCGTTGTCGCTTGCCGAACGCGGCATCCGCCAAATCGTTGTTTACAAGAACATTGTAATGATGTGCATCATCCGATTGTAAAATACTGCACAAATATTTTATAATCATATGTACCATATGATCTTAAACAATTTTAAAAAATAAATAACGGTCCCTCCGATACCCGCACGGACAACACAAATCGAACAATAAAGACCCGAGCCAACAATAAACCATTGACATCGTAAGTAGGTTAAATCTTCAAAAGAACGGTCCAAGGTGCATCCCACCATAAGACCCTGTGTAACAGAGACACACAGCCCTCTTCTCCGGTTCTTGATCTTAGGTCGTCAATGCATGCGCACCGATCGTAAGATTAATGAAAGAGTCTCTGAGTCATAACGAATGGGTATTACGTGCGACTATTTAACTTTGAAATTAATTTTCGATTTGAGTTTTCTGTGCGAAAGTTGAAGAGTGTCCAGCTTCAGAAAATCGTACCCTGCATTTGTCTCATTTCAAAATCATTACACTCCTGCGATAGTTTTAAGCACACAGCTCGTCAACATTTGAATAACTAATATAATTAATATAATAACTAATATAACTATTATTAGTTATTATTATTAGTTTGATTAACTAATATAATACAAGTAAGTACTATTTCATTTGGCTTGCCAGGCTATGCAATTCCGCTGATCAGCTCTCAAACCTTTGTAACCCCGACAGCCCTCCCATAAACAACGAAGAAGAGAATCACCCCATAATACAATATACAATACATACAATACATACAACCAATCACCTTTACACATATCTCCCTTATATTCCCATTTTTATATTACTCTTGTGTTCTCAGATGATTACAATACGCATACGTTGTGCAAAAGTTACGGTATTTTTCGGTATTGTATTCCCTATATTCTGGTCGGCTGTCCAATAAAAATGCGTTTCATATCGGTTTTCAATCAAAGGACGTGGGCGCCGCAATGCGTGCGTCGAAGACGGAAAGAAGTTTCCGACTTACGTGCGGAATATTTTACGCGTCTTCCTTAAACGTCAAAGTTTCGATGTCTGTTTACCGAAACAATGTCCCGCATTGCCATGTCGATGGGAGGGGGGACGTCTGAAAAACGAACGAGTGTAATGTCTTTTCTCGAAGGGATTTCGTCGTCCCGACAGCTGGCCGCTGATACCTAACACTCGTATTATTAAATCGGTTTGCGGAAACACGTGTGTCGGCTGATAAATCACGAAGTAAGCCGGCAGCGATTTTTCCGCATCACATTTAATGATACCGCCGGCGGTTTAATTAGTTACTGGACCCGATATACGTGCCACCGCGTTGAAATCCTAGAAGCGGGCAACAATTTAATTTAATTTTTTTTTTTCGGAAAATAAAACCGTCCAAGGGTAGTTTACACATCAATATTGTGAACACACGCTCGTCGTGTAAATCGAATATTATACACGTATCACATGCCAACACGAGTGTGATTTACTTCACTACATTCTCTCTCACTCCCTCTCTCCCTGCCACTTTCTTTCTCTGTCTGTACTACAAAGAATTCTATACGTTGTTTTGTATTTCGCCGTTAAATGTCCACAACAATCAATGTCTGTTTCAATGAGTCATTGAGAATATACTTTATATCTAATAGACGATTCACTGAACTGCTGCAGTTCGGTGAATCTAAAATTGCACGGAAATAATTTATAACCATGTTGAAAGCTCATGGCATTTGTCTAAATTAAAATGTCAGAGAATAGTCTATGAATAAATTATACTTGATTTTAGAACTGTGAGTTTAAAACGTATTTGACAGGTTGCAAATAGATTTTTATTTGTACGAATGATATTGTACGATAAAATAAATAGCATTAAAATCTATTTGGGTTTGGAAAATGTCGATCGAATCAAGGTTTTCAGTACTATTGAACGATCGTTTTTTAATATCTTGAAAAATGCGTCGATTTAATTCGATCGATTTACACCCAACTGGATGTTTTTTTCATTTAAATCAAATTATGAAAACCAGGTCAGCAAAAAAATGGATATTATTAAAATGATAAAAAAAATATTTATTTTCACATGAATGCGACGCAGATGATATTTTGGTCGTGAGTCGAATCGACGAATAGGAAATCTTCCAATAAATAATTCTCCTGTCAGAAGAACCGAGTTTATTTATTTCCCGTAAAAATTGTAAAGGCGATATGGAACTTCTATGAAGAACGACGTTACATGTACACAATGCATACATAATGTATATAATACATACATCATAATAATAATAACATATAATAGTATAGTGTATATATTTTACAGAAAAATATTTGAAAGTTAGCACAATGTAAGTTTATCCAACTGGTCCTGGACAATGCACTTTAACTGATCGACCTCGGTAAATCGTAAAATATATTAGAGCATACTATAATATATACATCCACCGAATTCAGTTATTACACTTTAGGATTTTACTCGAGTAAGATGGTAAATCTTGAGATCTACATAAACTTTGATATTATAAATACGTAA